ATACCCATGCTTCCCGTCTGCATTCACAGTGAGACTGAGCGCGAATGCTTAAAGGAGAAGCGATACCTCTTCCTAAGGTGCGCCACTAATTAAGACCCCACCTACAACAATTGGTAGGAACTCCCAACTGGAACCATTGAAACTAAACATGAATCGCAATTATCAAAAATAAACATTAAATACAAGTTTTGATGAAGTTAACACAAACAATATAAAATAAAATACTATAAAGTAAATTATATTCAATAAAATATAAAAGTCACAATCAATTGGCTACACCAGCATGTGATGCGTCTTCTTCTTGCTTTACGGCGGATCGCAGACTTATAAGTGCATTACCGCCACCTATCTCTCAAATGGACCATTGACACTCTATCTACAATCTAAATTAGGAGTGTCAATGGTCCATTTGAGAGATAGGTGGCGACAGAGATGGAAACTCGAGTCTGCAACTTGGACTCAAGTCGCACTTAAGTCGCATAAATAGAGACTTGCGACTTGACTTGGACTCGTGAAGCTGACTGGAGACTTGACTTGGACTCGTGAACAGCTGACTGGAGACTTGACTTGGACTCGAGAACAGCTGACTGGAGACTTGACTTAGACTCGAGAACAGCTGACTGGAGACTTGACTTGGACTCGAGAACAGCTGACTGGAGACTTGACTTGGACTCGAGAACAGCTGACTGGAGACTTGACTTGGACTCGAGAACAGCTGACTGGAGACTTGACTTGGACTCGTGGACAGCTGACTGGAGACTTGACTTGGACTCGTGGACAGCTGACTGGAGACTTGACTTGGACTCGTGGACAGCTGACTGGAGACTTGACTTGGACTCGTGGACAGCTGACTGGAGACTTGACTTGGACTCGTGGACAGCTGACTGGAGACTTGACTTGGACTCGTGGACAGCTGACTGGAGACTTGACTTGGACTCGTGGACAGCTGACTGGAGACTTGACTTGGACTCGTGGACAGCTGACTGGAGACTTGACTTGGACTCGTGGACAGCTGACTGGAGACTTGACTTGGACTCGTGGACAGCTGACTGGAGACTTGACTTGGACTCGAGAACAGCTGACTGGAGACTTGACTTGGACTCGAGAACAGCTGACTGGAGACTTGACTTGGACTCGAGAACAGCTGACTGGAGACTTGACTTGGACTCGAGAACAGCTGACTGGAGACTTGACTTGGACTCGAGAACAGCTGACTGGAGACTTGACTTGGACTCGTGAACAGCTGACTGGAGACTTGACTTGGACTCGTGAACAGCTGACTGGAGACTTGACTTGGACTCGTGAACAGCTGACTGGAGACTTGACTTAGACTCGTGAACAGCTGACTGGAGACTTGACTTGGACTCGTGAGACTCGTAAAAAAACACAAGTCATTTTGGTATGACATTCCATTCACATTCTCCCTTTACTACCCCACATGACAGCATCATACACCACATTTTACTGTTCATTCCTAATCCATTCATTCCCTATCAATATGTCCTGCATTAGCAAATGTCATAACAATTCATCTCTAAACACACCAAGCCAGCATTATTATATCCACGCGTGACACTGATTCGAAACTGTAATACACTCACTATAGAAACATTTTAAAATCACGATTAATATAAGATTGCATTGTAAATAAACTACATATTTTGTTAAGGCATCTTTTACACACCAAATGCGGCACAGAAACCAAACCTGAAGCGTAGAGATGTAAAGATGCACCCCCAGCTCTTTGAAAATTGATACAAATATGTGACGATTCAAATCAGTTGAGATGTTAAATGAATCGCGATACAATTGGGGTGGGAGTTTATATGAATGTATCTCTGAGGGGAACTGACTGTCCTTACAAAACTTTAGATGGTATTTCTTTCTACCTTGCCCCTGTATTATGCATATTAGCGTTCATAAGCGCGGCGCTGTTTTGTTTACAGCGGAAACCAAGGAAACGCTGTATCATTGGTGTTCTAAGCGCCAGCCACTGGCAGAGTGTATGTATGCAGCATCTTTGTTTGGATGATGATTAAAATACAGTGGTTGCCTCTAATTTGGAAAGACCATATAGTTTGTTTATATTAAGAGATTAAATATGAATATAACTGTTGAAACGAACCATAATTTTTAAATTAGTTTTTCCAAAAATAATTGCTTTTAAATAAATTAATAAAAAATGTTATAGTATAAAATGCTAAATTAAGGATGACCATAAATAAGGAGTTTACCAACAATAAGAATTTTGACTGATTAATATATATATATATATATAAAAAAACAAGATTATGTACAAGTCACATTTTATTGCTACATTCAGAAATAATGTAAAATACAGGAAAATAAAATGAAAGGTTTAAAAATGTTCCGTATAAAATAAAATTATGATTTCAAAAAAATGTGTGTGCTTTATTAGACAGTTTTGTAGAAGTAGAAGTAATTAGTTTTAATGTTTCAAAATTGATTTAGCCTCGCACACTGTTAATTACAATAAATAGCTGAAATAACTATTGCTAATAATAGAACAAAGACTTGAGATGTGACTTGGACTCCACCTCGGAGACTTAAGACTTGACTTGGACTCCCGTTTAAAGACTTGAGACTTGACTTATGCCGAGTTCACACTGCACGATTTTAGCCCGATTTTTCACTCGCCGACAGGTTTTGCGAAATCGCCGACAAATGCCCGAAATCGGAGGCAAATCGGTGCGCGATCACGCGAGTGACAATCACACAGTGTGAATGATCAAAGACGCGATCTGAGGGAATCGCCGATGCGTCGCCGACGCCCGTGAAATATTTGGCATGCTAAATATCTGGAGCTGTATATATATATATATTTTTTTTTAATAATTCCAGTCTCGCTCGAGAACTGGAATTCTGACGCACGCGGGTTCTCGCGTTATGTCCTTATCACTTCTCGTGTGTGTTTTCACTGTTTTGTTGTGAAACGTAGTTTGCGGACCAGACAGAGCTGTCGGCGATTCTTCCTATTGTGAAGTCATGCAGTGTGAAACCCCCTGTCGCCGATCCATCGTGCAATGCGAACACAGCAGCAACTGAATGCTACCCCAGATAGTCACGCAGTGTGAAAACAACGGCGATCCGACGAGTTTGAAAATCATGCAGTTAACTCGGCATTAGATTCGGCCTCAAAGACTTGAGATTTGACTTGGACCTCAGAGACTTGTGAACATGTCTGGGTGGCGGTAATGCACTTATAAGTCTGCGATCCGCCGTAAAGCAAGAAGAAGAAGAAGAAGACGCATCAGGCGCCGGCTGTTGAACACGCTCAGGACAGTTTGGACATTGCCGTGAAAATCAGAGGTAAAAAAACTATATAAATACTGTTCAGTTTCTTGAACAGACCGATCGTTTTGTGACACATCAATGTATCGTCACGAGCCGCAGGGTTTAATTTGGTTTTGTTTGTGTATGTTTTTTGACTCTCAAAGCCGTGATTCCTATCCACTTGCATTATATGACTGACAGACTGCAACGGTTTGACTAAAAAATCTTCGTTTGTGTTCTACTGAAGAAACAAAGTCACCTACATCTTGGATGCCCTGGGGGTAAGCAGATAAACATCACATTTTCATTTTTGGGTGAACTGTCCCTAAGGTAAGTATACTCTGAGTGGATCTCATAACTTTTTTCAAATGAATGTAATTACCAAAAACTTTTCAAAAAGTCTGTATATGTTAATAAATGAACGATCGTCCTTTTAACCATAGTATGTCCTTTTCAAACCAATCTTTTTGAGAAATTGTTTTTATATTATGTTTAATATCTCTATTATTTCAAAACTTTGTATGAGAGTTTCATTGGTAGTTTTCCCACATTAAAGTTGCATTTCAGTAAAAATTCTAGTCCCCTATTTTGGCTTCATATTCTAGTCTCCTTGCCAGTGCCAGCTGCCAATCATCAATAACACATAATGGATAATAATCTTGTTAAACCTCTGACCTGTGGGTCAGTTTTGATGGACTAATGCAGTACTTTATTTCATTGTTAAGCAGTTCTGTCAGACTGTGAGATTCATAACAGCACAACAGGAAGCTCTTCACCGAACTAAAGACACATACTCTAAATGGTCACTCACACAAGCTGTTCATCAAGCAGATCAAACCACATTTCTAAGAAAACAGACCGGAGTAGGTTTCAGTTTGACTCAGATGAGCTGCTAGTGCCATTTACTCAAACTGGTGATGATGAAATGGGAGAATGTTTTATCTTTTTTTGTTGTTGCTTGTTTCTTTTTCCCATTAAGAACTATAATACATTCAATGTGTGTGTGTGTGTGTGTGTGTGTGTGTGTGTGTGTGGGAGGAGGAGCTCAAACTCTGTTGGGGGAGGAATCACACAGGTCGAGTGTTTTTGGTGGGTTAAATTAGACTTTTCACTGAACAATTGAAGAAAATGCTTCATATGCTTGTTTTGTTCTCTGTGTGGCGTCTGATTGGTAAGTTACATATATATTTTTATGGCTTACTGACATAAAAAGTTGGGATGACTTTCATCTGCAGTTCTTCACAAAAAATAAAATAAAAAAAAAGGTCAGGTCTGTGCTTGCTTCTATATTTAAGTGCTCTAGGTCCCAAAGACTTAATGAGAATTACTCTAGTGAATTTCAATTTCTCAGAATTTGTTTTATACTTTTAAATATTACATTGCGGATAAATTGATTAATTTAAAAGACATTACATGATGTGCAAATGAAAATCCTCTGCAGCACTTTTTTTTTTAAAGAAAACCGTGGTAAACTACAAAAGTCATGGAAACCAAAAAGAGCTTTAATCTGTGTAAAATCTGGCCCTGTTTATGCTACAGGTGTGTTTAGTGCTGAAACAAATGAAATTCAGTCAGTGTCGGTGATTGAGGGAAATTCTGTTGCTCTAAACACTGATGTTACTGAAACACATGAAAACGACGACATACTGTGGAATTTTGGAGTTGAAAACTCTCTCATAGCTGAAATGAACAGAAAGATTGGAATCTTCAACACATATGATGGTCCTGACGGGAGATTCAGAGACAGACTGAAGCTGGACAAACAAACTGGATCTCTGACCATCACAAACATCACAACTGAACATGCTGGACTCTATAAACTAGAGATTAGTGGACTGAAACTGTCATCAAAAACATTCAATGTTTCTGTCTATGGTGAGTAGAGATCATAATTTAAGCACATTACAAAAATCATTAATCATATGACATAGCTAAAATCCATATTATCTCATGTTTTCAGCTCGTCTGCCTGTTCCTGTCATCAGCAGTAACTCTTCACAGTGTTCTTCATCATCATCTTCATCATCATCATCATCATGTTCATTGCTGTGTTCAGTGGTGAATGTGGGTCATGTGACTCTCTCCTGGTACAAAGGAAACAGTTTATTGTCCAGCATCAGTGTGTCTGATCTCAGCATCAGTCTCTCTCTACCTCTGGAGGTGGAATATCAGGATAAAAACAGCTACAGCTGTGTGCTCAACAATCCCATCAGCAACCAGACTCAACATCTGGACATCACTCAACTCTGTCACACATGTGCAGGTACAGCAGCGCTGATATTAGTGGTTATTTTTTCACACAAACCCAATTAAGACACCCATATTTTTTCTGCTTCACAAAATTGGGATAATTTTTGTTACATTATGTTTTCAGTTTTGGTTTCCTCACAGGGACGAAAGTCAGCTTGTTGAAAACCACAGTTCTGTTTTACCATTGGTTTTTCCTCAGAAGTCCACCTCCATTGCTGCGGTTTTACTGAAGCTGTGATCCGATTGGTCCTCTCTGCTCTGGTGGGCGTGGCTACTGTCATTCTTCTGGTTTATGACGTCAGATCCACAGGAGGAGACAAGAAACAGATATCATACATATAATGACATATCTTGAAGTTTTAACCTGTAAAGATGAAAATATATATATAAGGATTTAATTTCAAATACAGTTATCAATAAAAACAACAAGAAGATAGGTGCAAATAAATTATTTTTTTTATTATATATGGAAAAATAAGCCACACTGTTTGAGAAAAGAAATATAACGAGGCGAAAATATATAATTTATGATGTATAGGAGGAGAAAGAAGCACATCAGTTTCCCCGGTAAATTAGGCATTGTATTTTGTGTTTTCAGGTTACAGGGTTACAATGGATAATGGATAACGGATAATGTCCTGGAAAATTACTAGTACCTTTTCCATTTAAAAAAAAATATATATTTTTTTCTTAGTGTACTTACTGATCAACAATCGCAGGTACAAGCTACTAACAAGGTGCATCCCAATAGGGTTTGTGTGTTTGACTTGAAGCAGCGCTGCTTCAAGTCAAACACACCTAATTATTTTTGCACAATTGCAAATAGCAGTTAACTTAAGTCACATGACTCAGGGACTAAAGACCAAGTCACATGACCGCTAGGCATCTTTGGTTTCCTCTTTTTGTGTAGTTTAGATGGAAAATGTGTGCCTTTTTATCATTTGTTTGAGTCACTTACCAAAAGTTGCTAAAAGTTGCCAAAAAAATAAAATAAAAAGCTAATTTTGTTGCAATATGCTTTTGGAAGAAAAAGTTGCTATGGTAATCTAAAAGTTGCTAAATCTCACAACAAAATTTCCAAGTTGCCAACACTGTGCCGCTGCTCCAGGTGTGTGTGTGTGTGTGTGTGTGTGTGTGTGTGCGCGCGCACTTGGATGGATGAAATGCAGAGCACAAATTCCGATGCCTTGTCCAAATACCCACACTTGCGGTCTTTGCACTTGACCACTTATATGACGTATTTCCTGTATTTGGCCCAAGTGTTCAAGTGAGCATGAAGACCACAAGTGTGTGTCGAACTTTTCATTACCTGATGGGACACACTTATAGTGTTGTAAAAATGCAAGTGTTTACATAGTTTTAGTTTTAATTTTAAATACTTTGCATTTTAAAATCAACTTCTAAATGTCTGTTCAGTAGTCCCTATAACATGACAATTTTAATTTGTGGTGCTTCTAATTAAGTGATAAAAAGCAGTTGCAAATGTTGTACAAAATAAATATCACCACTACTCATCTTTGCACCAATAAAACGTAAAAACACTGTTTTTCTACCAAATTATATGTAATATCTAATTATTATACTAATATTTAACTTGCATTGGAAAGGTTTCCGTGACCTCTCGCGAGATCTCGGCAAAAAGTCTCACGATTTATTTCTAGAACATGATGCATGATGGGATACACTAAGCCTCGAATAGCGCTCCGAAGCGGTATTCGAGATAGTGTGGGTTTAGTGTGCGTTAAGGGCTCTGCGCTTCGGCGTTTTTAAGACCTGGGACAGTCTTGCGCACTGACTTCCTGTCGCACGCACGCGCTCTCAAGTGGCCAAGACTGCAAGTGTGGGTATTTGGTCAAGGGGCGAGTATGGGTCACCACACTTGGCTACACAGCACGTCCTTTTCCTTGTCGTTTCCTTTTGATAACCTCTAGCGGTGAGTTTGAGGAACTGCAGTTACATTTTACATAGTCGGTATAATATGATGTTTGAGCTTCATTGATACTGCACATATATATAAGTTATATGTGAACCAAAAAGAGAGGTAATAAAGTGACAAAGATAAATAATAATGTATTTCAAACATCTAAGATCAAACTATACAGACAGTGATACAATGAACACAGTGTGTTTAGATTTTTAGAATATCTCACCAGAAAGGTAGAATTACTTTAAAATTACTAATTTAATGCAACATTTAACAAAAATATCTGACATTATTGTCATTTTTTTTTGCAATCATTTAATAAAGAAATTAAATATTTGATGTTTTGCAGGTCACGTGACCATTAATGATATCAGAGACCTGTGATCTTCGTTTAATTATTCAGATTATTACAATTTCAGAGGAGCTTTAAGTAATACTGTATGGTGTGGACGTGTTAAAAGTGTTTGCCAAAATATAATAATAATAATAATAATTTTAAAATCAGTTGCCAAGGTATTTAGTTTAGTTTTTGTAGAAGTACAAAAACTGAAATAAAATTTAATAAAACTATTGACATATATATATATATATATATAAAAAAAAAAAAAATCGCAATCGCAAAATACTAAACCTTTAACTAAAATTAAAACAGTAAATATAAATCAAACCAAATTCAAAATATGAATAAACTATAAGTACTAAGTATAGTAAAGACACTATAACACTGGCACATGCTTACCTAGCAATCTTTTCATTGAAAATATAATTTGCTTAAAAAAAAATAAATGAAAACATTGAAACATTGTTTATTTAAAACAGCATGTTAAATTAATTCACATTCTGTTATTAAAAGCAACTGATACCTCAGTAAAAAGATGTACAATACAAACATGCGGACATGCAAATAAGTGCAAAAGTGACAACCAGTATCACAAACTATGGAAGTATTTTCCCCGTTCATTTTCATCTTAAAGATTTCAAATAAGTTCTTTTGAACCAAACTCTCCAATTCTGTGCTGAATCACAAACATACAAAGTTTGTTTTGAAGCAAAACAATGCGTATGAATTATTTGACACTTTGCACATTTTAGTGTGCAAGACAAATCAAGTAAAAACTGACAGTACAATACGAGTAGTGCAGATCTTCTTCATATGGAATTTGTCCATTAATACATTTTGGAAATTAAATAATGATACTGACTGTCCTGAGAACTCATGGTAAGTTTGTTTTAAAGGTTTGATACACTTTTAGATCTGTGTAAACTCAAGCTTAATGATGGATTGAGTGTTTCCAGCTTATTGTCATAAAGCATTTGTTCTGTGAATTTATCGAGACAACTGAATGGTAAAAGTAGGTTATTGTTGAACTGAATACAAATGTATAGAGAAAGTTTAACAATGAATAAGCGCCTCCTAGTGGTTCCATCACAACGAGTTTCTTTCAGAAGCTTCACTCCAGAAACATTCAACCTTCATCTGATCTGATGAGAACATCTCAACCTTCAAGAATCAGCAGAAAACACATCCCTTCCACAAGCACTTCACTAATCCATAACCAGAAACCAAGGCACTTATTATAATAAGCATGCTATAAATGATAAATGTAAATATTATTCCAGGTTAAAGCGGAGCAACACAAGCTGAAGTGTGCTGCTGATATACGGTGATGGGAAACATTTTGCAGATACACGATCCGGTTATGATCCTGTCGGGTCTTGTGACGTTTTCCTGTTTGTAAGAAAACAATGATTCACAAAAGATTACAGAGAGAGAGAAAACAACAGCTTTCAGTAACTCAAGAAGATCTGTCAAGTCTGAAATGTTTACTTCCATCTGGATGATTTTGATATAAACTCCATTTAGTCAGTGTAAAGACTAGCGGATGAATACAAATGTATGTGCACCATTGCTATTCATCAGAAGAGCAGAAATGCTGTAATATTTTCTGATGTGATGGTGATTCGTTATTACATGACATGACACACATCACACACATCTGCAGTGAAATCAAGCACAATCTCATAATACTAATAGGCTGCATTATTTTTACCTCATCCTTGGACTTTTGACAGATGCCCGAGCTTATTTTTCACCTTGTCTCCTTTTAAAAATAAGCACACACAAACAATTAAAAGCTAACTTTGCATAATAAAGACAACATTTTCCTCTCACTATAATAGCTGTTTGTAATACTTGCCCTATGTAAAGCTCCTGCATCGGAAAACAGTCATGCGTATTCCTGAAGGCGGACCTGAATAGGGTACACAAGCATCTTTACAGTCCATTCCTTGCACTGCGTCCCCTAGAGGACAAGTAAAGGATTAACGTAGTAGTCTGTGGAAGGTGTAAGACCATAAAATGTTCATCCAATCATATCGCTTGGCCCGAGGATTACGATAGGCTGTCCTACCTGCCTGTCAATAGGGCCTTTCGCACCGCTTTAGTTCTAGAACTAAATGTACAGTACTAAAGTACTGGGACGATTTTGCGCGAACTATTTCCCAGTACCATTTAAAGGGTTGCATTCGCACTGACAGTGTGTACAAAGAAGTGACGTAAGCCGGTCGACAGCGACGTCATTTGTGCGCGGCGTTCAACAACAGAAACAAAGAAGAACAACATTAACAACAGGAGGATTGAGGACGCTGTGATCGGAGCTGTGTTTTTGTTGTGTCTCGCGGGTTTCAAAATAATGGACATGGAAAGTCGACGTATACGTAAAGCGATTGAAAGAACGGAAAGGAGGACTAAGAATCAAAGACAACTGACAGTGCTACATTTGCTACAAGTGCCTGCACTTTAGCGTCCGTCCATCTATCGCTGTTCTCCATACTTGCGAAATAAGTTGACACAATGTTTACAGTATGTTTACACGGCGTTTTAAATCATGGCGGGTGAGGGCGTTTTCATACGCGTTTGGCCAATCAATGTCTACTTACGTCACGATTAGTACCAGTTGTGCTGGTTAGACCCTGCTCCGGAGTAGGAGCTAATTTGGTTCTCGAAAAAGGCAGTCCGGTACTAAAATCGCACCCAGTTCCGGCGGTGCAAAAACGCCAAAAAGTGGGTAGTTCCACAATTAGTTCTGGTACTATGAAAAGGTTCTCGCGGTGCGAAAGGCCCTAATGTATTTGCACACCTCTGTGCACCGTTCACGCAGACATGTTTCGTCATCACTGCGTTCCATTACTCTATTGCAGGCCGAGTGAGAATGGAAGGCGTTATTACTGTAATATTATGAGCTTTGTACTGTAATGTTTTCTCTCTGGTGAATGAGACATGAGTGAATCTGATAGCGCTGCATTCAACACTCAACCAACGCTGGTCAGCGCTGCTCTGTCTGTGCGCGTTCATGTGTTTTGGAGGAGGCGTGGCTTTGGAGAGTGATTTGCCGGGAGGGTGGGATCTTATGCTTTCAAAGCTAGCTTGCTATTGCTAGCCTCTCTGAATTCACCTACTCTACCTTTAAGAAGCTCCATTCGCATTTTGTCCCTCTTCTTGAAGGAAGAGGGACGAATGCTGGATTTCAACATGTGAATTATTCTAATGTGGAGGGAGTGCGTGAGCATGGTACTTGATGCCTCCCGTTAAAAAGACGCTTGCAGGCTCTCTCTCGATGGGCGAGACATAGTCGCTGAAGTCGTGGATATTGTATTATGGTAGATACTCTAATAGATTATCTAAATGTTAATACAGAGTCAAATTTCATTATCAAAAAGTCAATAAATCAATAAATACAATAACTATCATTTTAAAAATGATGTGTTCTGAAATTCTCACCAATGATCACAAATGACACTCACCAGTGACGGTAACTCTGAAGCTCCTAACGATGCTGAATCTGCTGCTGTTGATCTGTAGCTTATAGACTCCAGAGTCTTCACTTCTGGTGTTTGTGATGGTGAGAGATCCAGTCTGATTCACCTCCAGTCTGCCTCTGAATGTCTCATTACTATTATTAACCTGATCATCTGTACAGATCCTACTCTGATCTTCAGTGATTTCAACGATGCATATGTCATTAAAATACCACGTCATCAAATCAATTGGGTTTTTTATTACACCGGCATCTAAAGTAACATTTTCTCCCGCCTTCACACATATTTCATATAGTTCAGCAGCAGAAACATCTGAAACACAAACCAACAGCTGCTGGAGGAACGTTTTTTGAGGAAAAATAACTGTGAAAATAATTATGCATATTAATTTCCTAAAAACAAAATAGCTAAATATCAAGTTAATTGGGGATATGTCTTTATTCATACAGATGTAATTGTGTTCTGTTCAGTGATGCAGGTAAAGAGAAAGACAGCTCTGAATATCACTGGTATAATAAACACAATGATGTGATTTAAACATAAACAACCTGCTTTACAGCATAATAACTTACCAATGACAGTAACATTGAAGATCGTTTCATTGTTGCTACCTCTGATGACCTGTAGTGTATATTTTTCAGAGTGTGTGGTGTTGATGTTCATGATGGTCAGAGATCCAGTCTGATTGTCCAGCTGCAGTCTGTCTCTGAATCTCTCAGTACCTTCATTACACTGAACATCTGTACAGGTATCACTGAGATTTCCATTGATTCGAGCGATGAGAGTGTTATTAAAATACCACTTAATATTTTCTTGTTGGTTTGTTTCAACATCAGTGTGTAGAGTGACTGAATCTCCCTCCATCACTGACACTGAGACTCCGTCTGCACCAGACACACCTAGAAAAGAAATGAACAGATAATTATAAATGTTTTTGGGAAAGTGGGACAAAAATATCCATAAATGAAACAAAGTGCTGTGAAAATGATTTTCTACAGATCAAACAGCATAAAAGCATAACCAATTTACACATTCACTCATCAGACAAACATACATGTTATAATGTAGGTTATTTGGTGCTTATTGTACACCATATACATCATACAACACACATCTTGACTCATATCTTGCATATATTTGCATTCATACAACCAAGAAGTGATAATTGCTTAGCCTACTTTCATACACCTCTGAAGACTATAACACTGAAATGTTGAAATTAGCACATTAAAATAACAATATTCAAAATTATATTTCAATTTTATTTCAGACTGCAAAAACACTTTTTTTTTTAAATAACTGCATGACCTGGGTTGGAAACCAGCCAAAGCAAGAGCTTGGTTCTTGATCTTTTGTTTCTGTTCTCAAGACATCTTAAAACCATCTAAATGCTCTGCATCTGGATCTAATTATTTCAGTCAGTGCTGTGTGATTTATACCATTCCCCTTCTGCCTTTGTGTCTGCATGTACAGTTAAACAAGCACTGTCTCACTCGTCTTGTAAATATAAGCGCATATTTGATATAATATAAATGTATTGTATGGTGCATTTGCGCTACATCCCAAACAACAAATTGAGAACAGTTATACAGTAAATAAAGACAAAGACACTCAAGTTTGGTTAAACTGATTTGCATTTACAACAACAACCTGACATTAATTTAGTATTAAAATAGCCTATTACTTAAGCCATTCCACCAAATGGGTGCCATTTGCTTGTTGTAACACCGTGTGTACACCTGATGCGACAGCTAAAGTCTGTCTACTGTACACTGGATGCAACAACGCGACGTTGCAAATCATTTGAAATTTGTGTCAGTACATCATAAATAGAATGAGGCAGCAGTTTACTGTCGGGGATTTGTCGTGTCGCGCCGCACACAGTGTAAACAGCACTGATTATAATGGGTTCTGTTTTTTGTCGCAAAGCGCAGACGATTATCTTCGCTGATAGATATTTCTTAGACTCATCATCCTTGATGATTTATGGCAGGCTATGTGTGACTCAGTTTATTTTATTTCATCTTCATGTGCTCTCTCTTCCCAGCAAGCAATTTTGCGTTTAAAAGATGTCTAACAGCTGTCCAAACACAGCCCAGACGTCTAGGCTAAAACAAGGCAAATTTTGGGCTGTCAGTGAAAATTGAATAGATGTCTAACCATAGCCCATGAATAGACGAGTCATCAATTAGACCGCTATTGAACGACTACATACGTCTAATAGACAGTGAATTTGTGTCTAGGCTAAAACAAGGCTGAACTTGGGCTCTCAGTGAAAATTTAATAGAAGTCTAACCATAGATACAAAATAATGGCTAAAGGATTATTTTTACTCAAATATAACAGGTTCTCATAAATGACAATCCATCCATACAAATTAAATATAAAGCTTTTATTAAGAAAAATAATGTTTTTAACGACTTAGACAACTTAAGATAGGCCTAATACAAAATCATAAAAACAACTTAAGATAATAAAAGCAACGAATGATAGAATAAAATAATTTAAAAAAACTTATTTCAAAATAACAAGTCTAATACAAATCAAGAGCATGTTATCACACTTAACATTAAAACATTATGGATAAATAATCATATTTTAATAATCATATAAATAATCATAATTAAGTCAAATAAAAAAAGGTTAACCCTTTTGATGGTTTACGCATTTAACAAACAAACTACCAACAGTGAACTTTAAGGAATGATTCATTGTTATGAATTATTCATTATTTCTTGTTTAAAATGCTTCCCAATTGCATTCCTTAATGCAAATCCAACTCTGTCGCGAAGCATCTCAGCATCTGACAAATAAGAAAGAAAGAAGAAAAAAAAAGCATGAGAAAAGCATTTTTGACATCATATTTTTTACTTTAATTACACTAATTGTGACAGGGAGTCATTCTCTTTTGCTTGGATGCACACTAGGGCTGTGCAATATAGAGTTTTTTTTAAAGATATATATATACATATACATATACATATACACAGAGCTGGGTAGATTACTTGAAAATTGTAATCCATTACTGATTCCAAATTACATGCCAAAATTGTAGTTTGTAACATAATCCATTACATTACAGGTAATATAATCAGATTACTTTTAGATTACTTTCTACCTTACTCACTTATCACATTGACTTAAATAGGATAATCTTGTACCATATTGATATAAAAATACAAAAAGAAAGAAAAATATATTCCATTTGTTAAAATTAACAACATAAATAAAAATAATGATAAAATCAATCATTTTAAAATAACACAAAAATAAATAAAACACGTCCTAAAGAAATTAATGATTTTATTTGTTTACCTGCATGTCATGTGACCATTAACCAACATCAGAGATACAATAATTTAAATCATTGAAAATGATTGACGTCACCATTTTCAAAGATTCCCATTTTGGGTGTTTACACGGAAACGATAACGGTGGCGTTTTCAAAAACTTGCACTTTGAAACCCCTTTTCAAAAATATGTGTTTTCAGTCCCCAAAACGCCGTTGTCGTGTAAACGAACAGTCAAAACGCATAAAAAGTTTCCCGTTTTCGGCTGAAAACATTGTCGTGTAAACGGCCCCTAAATTTGACACGTTTTCTTTGAAGATGAACCAGCCAGGCCGACGACCATCGAAACGGACGGCTGTCCTGGACTTCTCCAGAACGTCCAGATGGCCAGTCCACCCCTGTATCTACCCACCAGGATTAAAGGCCTTTTTTATGGAGTGAATAATGTGCCGAAATTAAACAAACAAATCCAGTATTTTGCAAACAAACTTGATCTGCTTTGCAAAGGAAAACTCGACTCGCAAACAAACAGAAGGCGATTTGCAGATACAAAGTTCAGAGTGAGCAAAATCGCAAAGGTGTAACAAATAAATGTATTGTGCTTTACAAATACCAATCAGTGCAAAAAATCAAGCGCCGAAACATGTTTATGAAAATGAGCGGTGAACAGGTGGGGTTTTGTCTTACTGTATATATAATTAACCTTTTTGAGGTTTTCAATGCCAAACCTACTTCAGGAAAAAATGAAACCCTTATTTCAATTAAATGAAATGTTCTTATTAACTTATGGACAACGACAGAAACAGACAAAGAATCCATCAGTGCACATAATCACTAATTATAGTAGATTTTGATTTAATAATTTTTTATAGTTAATTAAAACACGGTTGTGGTTTGCTATAGCTCTAGCCTAGAGATAGTGGAGTGCTAATAAGTGCTAATGTGGCTTGCTACCAATATATGTAATCAACATTTTGAAAAAGAAAACCTCAAAAACGTTTTTTATAAACATTAACTCCTTTACCGCTCATTATCATAAACGTGTTTCAGCGCTTGATTTTGCACTGATTGGTCACATTATCTTTAAATTATTGTATTTTAATTTTTTTTTATTTTGAAGTAGGTTTGGCATTGTGAAAACCTCAAAAAGATTAATAGGGGTTATGCGCAACAGACTTCCGTATTCTGTTAACCATAAAAACAGCTAGCTAGTTTAACTGATTATCTTAAAAGTCCATAGATATCGCTATTATTTAATACGGCTGTTAACACGTTCTCCGACAAGCGGAAGCAATGACCTGTTTTCCGGGTTTGGTCAGGTGATGTTCGACATATACCCTATTATAGTAAGTGCTTCTCCCAGGAGACTACTGTAAAATCACCTATCGCGCCATCTGCTGTTTCGGAAGAGGAAGTTGCTCAACTGCATTTGTGAGAAAATCAAGCCAAGAGATTGCGTAAAAGGGCGAGTGTCTCACAATCAAAACAGACCAGCATATGCACTAAATTTGGTAGGCTATTTGTTCAAAGGTTACATGCAATTCATAGGATTGGTTGTATTTGTGAAATATGATGTACGCTCATGTATTTATATTTGTAAAGCACAATACGTTTATTTGTTACACCTCTGCAATTTCGCTCGCTCTGACCTTTGTATTTGCAAATGGTTTTCTGTTTGTTTGCGAGTCGAGTTTTCCTTTGCAAAGCAGATCAAGTTTGTTTGCAAAATACTGGATTTGTTTGTTTAATTTCAGCACATTATTCACTCCATACTTTTTCTATTGGTCACTCTTGATTGAAGTGACAGGTTGACCACGCCCACTACGCTTTCCCGCCACTGCTAACCTAAAACTAACTTTACCGTGCTATCAGAACTTTATTAACAAAATGTATGATAAATGCTTACAAATGACAGTCATGTGGTATATAATATTATTTTTTATGAAATGTAGTTTTTAAAACTAAAAGTATTACATCGAATTATGTAATAATTGGCCAGCGGCAGTCTCTGGTTGCTAGAGATGCCGCAGCGAGATGCCAATATCACCAACTACAGACGGGCTTAGCTAACGTTACATATTTAGACGGGAGAGCATACGAAGAGAGAATAATTGAATTCACTTGTCCCTGAGTTTAAGATGTCAAATTAGTTATCTTAGCCAGTAAACGTCCTGTTGCTCGCCATTGCTACAACCTCACTTGCTCTTCTGTCAGACTCAGGGATGCCAGGTTTTGACCAAAAAATGTTGTAAAATACAATTTTTTTGGTGGGTTTCCCCTGGTAAAATTCGCATTCCAGGGGGCTAAATATAACATTATTGGGGTTGCTTCAACCCGCGGACATGAAAAACAACCCGCAGCATCAGTGTTAAAGTAGCACAATTCCGCAGGAAAACTGTGGACTTGGCAACACTTCCAGCAAATATTCTCCATTACAATAGCATTTATTTCAATATACCACAGACCGTATGAGATGAAAAAAGCGACCACGGTATGGAGGATGATCATATATAACTTTAAATTTTATTAGTAACTGTTGATTTTATTATTAACAGTTGATTTTATTATTAATGGTCGGCTAATTTCGGGCAGAGAATGGTTAATATTCATGCCATGCTGAACCAAAATGAAGTAGAAATATAACTGGAACCATTTCTTACCTTTCTTGGAACTGTTTGGCCGGACGGTGGAAAAGCGGCTAAAGTTTCTTAGCAAAAGATGGATGCATTTTTCTCAGTCCTGTTATCAAAAGTCATGTGCTTTTTAAAAAGCATGATGAAAAGCAATGGCAACTAATTCCTTGTGATTATTTTTAAAGAAATGGTTGGTTACATTGAAATAATTTATATTTGTGACCAAAAAAACATACAAAAAAAAAAACCCCACTATGAATGCACACAAGGTGTATTTTTCTAAAAACTCCAAGCTATTTTTTTTTTTATTTGAATGGAAAATGCATGTACACATAATTCTGAAATTAAAGTAAAATAACAAGCTATTAATGTCTTAATGTGTTTGTAAAGCAAAGGTTCATAGCCCAAATAGTCTAAATTTGAAAAAATAAAAATAAAAAAAAGGAAAAGAGGGTTTGGAAAAGAAAAAGCCCACATTTTACTCTGCTGCCACCTACTGATGAACTTGAAAAGGAAAAGGAGATTCAAGTTATTCGGTGCATTCCAAACAGGATATATCGCCCTCTGAAGGCACTTCGGAGTGAAAACAATCATGGCCGCCATACTGAAGGGTCGTTCCAAACCGAAGTGCTCAAAACTGGCCACTTCAAAGGGCCTTTTGGAATGAAGGATTTCAAAGGGTACAACTGATTACACTTTGGGCACTTTTTTATATTTATACGAGTTAGATTTGCTACATTATTATGGTCAAAATGACATTGTATTTTACGACATTATATTTAATGTAAAAGTTGTTTGTGGGTCAACCAGCGTACAAAATGTGCGACGAAGGCGCCTCCTTGTTCGTGTCGTTAAGATGACGCAGAAGTGCTTTCGAAAAAAAGAGTTTTTTTGACCTCTACACTCATCATCTCTAGAGGGTAAACCATTTGAAGGGATTAGGGCATAGGGATGAGTCCTTCCGAATGGAATGCAGGGATAGTCTCAAGTAGCCAGACCTTCAGCCTGACAGCAGAAGTTCAAAGAACCTTGGCTGCTTTGAATTAGTGATGTGTCGTTCGCGAACGAGCCGGCTCTAAGAGCGAAGAGATCTCTGTCTCTCTGAGGCTTGAAGACGTGCTGCTGCAGCAGATGCTTCCTCCATCTCTCTGAGTTCTTGATCTGAGTATTCTGGTTCAAATAAATACAATTGGGCAAAAAAATCCACGTGGTCTGTTGATATATCAAAATCATCTTCCATTGTGATGATCGTGACAGGCCTAGCACTAGCATGCAGGCAGTAGTGATGTGTCCGTTCGCGAACGAGCCGGCTAGCCGATTCTTTGTAGCGAACGAGAAGAGCCGACTCCCGTCAGTGATAGCCGAATCTTCAGCCGGAGCCTTCTATTTTAGCCCAATTTAGCAATTGTGAATGGTTTGTGTGTTGGTAAGAAATTTTTTATTTAGTGTTTTCATAAAAGCATTATTTTTATGCATTTTTTTGTTACAACAAAAATAAATAAAAATACACATGCGGCTAATCACATGGGAGGACAGACTAGGATCATACCATTATGTGAAAGAAGGAATGGGGACACAAGCTCTGAATATAGCGAGTGTAGTGGTAAAGGCCAGGTACACAGAGTGACAGAGAGAGACGTTGGTTAAGTTAGGAAGACACTGCATTGTTGCAACATCGGTCCCCTCAGAGAGAGTCTTCTCAAAAACAGGACAAATAATCACAGAGAGGAGAAATCGCATCAGCACATCCAAGCTGAGGCATCTGATATTTCTGAATGCCAACCTGCACTAAAGACTGAAGTGTTACTTTTAAAGTTTTATTAAAATGTTAAATAATAGTATCTGTATGGAAGCCCGTTTCCGCCACTGAATAAAAAATAAAAGAGGTAATTGCGACTTTTTATCTCACAATTCTGA